ACAAATAGCTCACTGTGGAGCTTTATGTTTAACAACAAATAAACAATATAAACAAAATCCAGCTTTAAACCTAGCTATACCAGATATTTTCATTTTTAAGCCTGACTGATCATCCTGACATCATCCAAAACCTGAAAAACAACTACAAGTTTTGTAACTGAGAGAAATTTCCTGCTAAGCATATCAAAAAATGTGAAGATTCGTATCAATTATCATAAACTACCAAATTAAAGAACTATTCGTCAAAATATGTATGAAATGGGAAAAAAAAACATTCCTCGCTACAGAAGGCTTATTTTACTATCTAATAGAATGCCTTGTTTTCACATCCGGTAACCCCAGTTCCTGTGACTTCGACCGCTTTAAGCTCCCAGCTAGTTCTGGCAATACGGACACTTTTACAACTAAGTTGTGTTCCGTTTTGTCCATTATCAGTTTGTATTCATTTTGAGTCAGCATTGTACAAAAAATATGAAACAAATGAATTGAAATACGAACATGACATGTTCTTTATTAATTGATGTTTTACAGGATAAAAACTATAAATATATTATAGTCATAAAAGCTTGAGTTTGAGTTTCAATACATGGAGAAAAAATGACTTTATTATATAATTAGCAATAGTTTCATCAACGTCAAGGATACTATGAAACCAAATTATTGAATTTCGGTTCCTTGCATGTTAGAAATGTCAAGCTGATACACACGAATTAAGTGTCATAGCCCAACGTTTTAAAGTGGCGGGAACTACTTCACAAAATATGAGAGACAAAATAGTCTTAGCCATTGAGTCAACTAGACTTTGTATGTTACCTCAGTCGAGATCGTTACGCTAGAGTTAGCCATGTTTGCAGAATAAGTAAATACGATATTGAGATATGTTGGCACTGTTCATTCCTTTGACTATGATATTAACGTTTCATGCAACTGGGATCTCTTATCCACGAGAACAGTAAGCTGCAGGAACTAGACTGTACGCCTCTTTCACGGTTGTGATTATCTTGTCTTCAATAAGTTGTCAGAAAGATTTATCAAATGGTGATAATTCTGTATATAACTACGTACTTGAGCTTTAATTACGTAACAAATATATATAATCAATGATATATAACTACGCATACATGAAAATGCAATAGAAATTCATAGTAAATAAGGAGATACAGTGAGTACAACATTAATTTGAAACCTTGTATACACATATTTGAGGTAGTAACCACAGTGAGTGAACAAGCTTTCAGAAGTATTTGTTTCTGCAGTTTATTATACGATAGCCAATCATTTTCCTCGTAGCAAAAGTTGTTTATGAAGTATCCGTTTCTGCAGTTTATTATACGATAGCCAATCATTTTCCTCGTAGCAAAAGTTGTTTATGAAGAAGACTGACTTTTGCATTGAACACTGGAAATCTATATTAATATGTTGTTTGGGTAAATATCATGTAATGAGCCCGTGATTATCTTTATAGTTACAATCGAACATAAAGCCTTGGACTTCATCTCTAAAATTTTATGGAACATACGACAGTTGGGGAGGGGGTCATCTCTGAAATTAGGCGTAAAATGCGACAGTTGTGTCATGAAATCTTTAGCACGGCAATGTCTTCTTGCAAAGCTCATTTCTCACATTGAAGAATGTATAAAAACTAAGAAACAAAAAAAATGAGTATCAAAACTAAAGAAAAGATGTTCTATGATGCTGCTGTGAAACGATGTGATGATCTGGAGATGAAGAAAACAATGTATTGGACATTAGGTCTCTAAGGTGAAATAAAAAATGTGGCTCCATCTCCTATAGGGTTTTTAAATTAAGGTCTACAAAAAACGTTTGCAAAACTAAGTGAAGAACATAAACACGGGAATTGCGGAAGCTAGATAACACAGCTGATGGATGGAACAGATGACTAAAGAAAACTGCTTTGCTATTCATTATAAGAAAGAAATCTAATCAAAAATAAAATCCAGAACTATATGTCTTAGTGGAAGTTCCCTGAACCGAAAGTTGCTAAAAAAAGTTTCAATTTGCGCTGGATAAAAACTGCTTTCTTAAAACAGTTCTTCAGCTATAACATGTCAAATTCATTCAAAATTTGTAATTTATATATAAAAAATGTAATCATAACGGTCAAAAGCACTTTAGGGAAACATGTAGTCACAGAATGTGAGTCCAGTTTATTAAGGCTTCGTATAAAAGAAAAGGTATGTAAACACAGATAAATGTTGGAAATAAAAATGTTTAACAAATGAATGTTCGTCTTTGTCATAATATATGTAAAACTCTTAGTTGATAAATGACACGGGTTTTAAGTTCTTTATTCGTTACACTGGATATATTTATCCTTCATCAAGTGATGTTTCCTCTCATCTAAAGATCGTATATGTGTACGAAAAACTTGTGATTGTGAATAGGTAAATCAAAATAAATTAATCAGCTTTATTAGCGTCTTCATTCAGTTTGTTGTAGTTTTCATATGTTTATTTGTTTGTTATTAATCACAAAGCTGCACAATAGGTTGTCTGTGCTCTGCCCGCTGTATTGAAACTCGATTTTTAGCGTTACAAGTCCACATACTATTCAACCACCGAGGGGCCAGTTTTGTCTAATTGTATTTAATAAAACAACCAAGGGTTGATTTGAATTTCTAGGCAAGTAGGCTTCACATGGCCTAGTAATAAGGACGCACGACTCGAAATATGTGGTTGCGAAATCGAAACTAGGCGTGGAACATGCTCGTCCTTTCAGCCGTAGAGGCGTTATACGGTTACAGTCAATCCCATTA